AGAATTATCTCCTTGACGAATCTCCTCCAATTTTAAAGTCAACTCAAAAACCTGAGATTGGTTGCCTAGGTCAGAATACATCTGACTAACATTATCCCACAATTCTTTTGCAGTAAGATAGCACATGTAATTGGAGCTTATGTCTTCCTCCATGGAATTGACCAGTCATGTCATAACCATGGAGTTTTCAGCATCCCAAGTAGCGTACAGCGGATCATCAACAACAGGAGCCTTCTTGTCACCAGTGATGTAACCGATTTTCCCTTGCCCACGAATATACATCCGGACTGATTGTGACTATCGGAGGAAGTTGTCACCATTTAAGCGGATGGTGGTGATTTGGACAGAATGAGAATTGGAGTGGTGCTGCGGAGTGGCCGCAACAGGGGTTGAGGTGATTTCCGACACGACTTTCGGACATGACTACAATGACTTTGGAACTACTGTGTTTTAGAGTTAAGACACGATTATGGCTCTGATACCAAATTAGAAAGGAATGAAGAAATAATATGTATCTTATTTCTTGAATGAGTACAAGGCTCTTTTTATACAGAGGAAAATTACAACAACAAAAGAAACTAATTAAAGCCAATATTTGACAGCTTCTACTTTCCTACTTTTTCTTGATTTACATCTTTTACTTTCTATATTTACATAGAAAACAAATCTTAGAATATCTCACAGATTATGACTAAATCAATGCTTTCAATGACCAAATTTCCAACAGTTCCGTTAGTTGCATGCTCCAAAATGTCAATTTGCTGCTAAACAAGAAACAATACTTCTTGGTATTTTCTATTTTTTGGCCATTAACCTACTTGTATCCTTGTTTATTTTCGTTGTTTTCAATTTGGCACTAATCCTACAATGTTTTCTCTTGTGCTAGAATAAGGGTTCATCTGGTGATTGTGCAACTGCTTCAACAGCTCCAACAACTAAAGTAAGATTATTATTTTTTTCACCTCTCCTGCTCTGTTTTCCATAATCTTTTCTGAATATTAATTTAATTAAGGCATAATTGCTTATTAGCAGTTATTCTGCTATGATTTTTTTTATCTATATTACTGAAAAGACATTTTCATTTGACATGACCTGAAAAAGGCATTAGGATTTTGTTTCTTCTGGTGGAAGATGTTTTGTTCAATACTATGATGACCGATGAGAAACAACTTGGGTAAATGCAATTTGTACGTGTTTAAATCATTAAATGTTGTAGGTAGTGAATAGCAGTGCTTTAAGTATTTTAGAAATGGGGCATGGTTGAGTTGTTTTGTGTCCAAATGCTTACCATCTGATTCACACTATTGAATGATAAACAGAATGCATAATGTTGGAATCTTAGTTATTCTATTACTAACTTGGTCCTACTTTTAACATTTGTGAGTTACTTGGTTTCCTATTGTTTTCTCACCTCTTCCCTTCTAATATCACATTGACAATTAAATTGCCACCATCGTAATCTCTCTTCATGGACTCCACTAGAACAGTGGAAAACTGTGGAGTGACTTTTGGTTAGTTACTTCTGGAAAACTGTGCATGTATATGCACAGGTTAATGAGTAGTGATTTTGGGTGCTAGTATTTCTTTCCCTTCTCTCATAGTTGATAAAATGTGTTCTTTGTAGACTCCCCAGACAAGTGTACCACCAGTGGCTCCAACACCAGCTTCTACTGCTCCAGCTGCAACTCCGGCTATGTATGCCTATCTGTTCTGCACTTTTTGTTCTGAATCTAGTCCTGTTGCATCAACTACTATAACGTGCGTTTCTGAAGGACTGGAAGCATGCTTTTGATTTTCTCCGTCTTCAATTGCTTTCGATAGGAAAGTTCCATGTGTTTTGCTTTTTAAAATCTAAAATAATCTGTTGAAACAGGTCAGAACCTGATGTTTATGGCCAAGCGGCATCTAATCTGGTTGCAGGAAGTAACTTAGAAGGAGCAGTCCAACAGATTCTTGATATGGATGGAGGGACCTGGGATAGGGATACTGTTGTCCGTGCCCTTCGTGCTGCTTATAATAACCCTGAGAGGGCTGTGGAATATTTGTATTCTGTAAGTAATTCCTGTATGCCTGACTTGAAATAGTGATGTGCGACCTTTTTTAGATGAGTGCCTCCAGTTCCAGTAGCCAACTTATACGTAGGGTTATTGAATTTTTTTCCTTCCCATTGCTTTATTCTTCTCCTTAAAGTAGATGGTAATAGTCTTATAGGTGTGAGATCTTCCTGAGATGATTTCTGGTAACGACGATGATACCATTTTTTGTCTTTTATAATTATGTCTTTCTACTTGCACCTTGGTAACTTCCCTTCTCATTTTGCTTCTCTTTTTCAGTTCCAAGCTTTGCGAGCAATGGTGAAGGCTAACCCACAAATATTGCAGGTTATTCTCTGATCCCTTGGTTGTTCTGGTCATCTGTGTTTTCCTTCTTTTTTCCTGTCTTTTTCCTAAGGTTTTTGTTTATTTAATTTGTGCAGCCTATGCTTCAAGAGTTGGGGAAACAAAATCCTCATCTACTGAGACTTATTCAAGAGCATCAGGCTGACTTCCTTCGCCTGATCAATGAATCTGCTGAAGGTGGAGAAGGGTAAGTCTTGTTACTTTTAGTTGCTAACTTCTTGAGCCTAGTTGTGCATGCCTTTGAATGCATATTTGCTGCTGTCTCCTGTCATAGGAACGTATTGGGACAATTAGCTGAGGTGATGCCGCAAGCTGTTCAAGTCACACCTGAGGAACGTGATGCCATCGAACGGGTAAATTATCTTTTGTTAAAGCCGACTAGGATGTGTGCATTATTCCCTGTAATTATCCTTTCTCCACCTATCTGTTTTTGACTGTTCATTGAAACATCTTATTACTCCATTTATTTTGCCTTGATTGTATATCTGTCAGCCTCAACCTGGACTTGGAACTTTGAACCCAATTTGGTATGAACCTGTCCAGCTCAAATCCGAATCATAAACCCTTTACAACTTGACCCAGAAATAACTTGAACCCAAAGTGGTCCTAAAGTGTAATGACTCGTTTTGAAAAACATGAAAAATTTACCAGACCCAAACATTTTGAAACCTGAAATCTCGACTCAAAATCAACCTAAACCCACCCAATGGATAGGATCTAGCCTTGATCTTTGTAATGAGTTCAGATATATGAACATGTTTTAAAATATTTGTAGTTTTGGATGATTGAATAAAAAATATAGGCTTGATAGTTTTGTCAGGTATTTGTTGTTATATAACCACAGCTTGGTCCATCAATGATATGCACAGCTCGAAGCAATGGAGCTTGATAGAGCAACAGTGCTTCAAGTGTTTTTGGCGTGCAACAAGTATAAGGAACTGGCAGCGAACTACCTTTTAGATCACATGCATGGTTTTGAGGATTGATTTTCTTCTTAAGGCTCTTTTTTTCTTCATTTATTTTGTGGGGGGGGGGATGGGGTCTTGCCCCCCCCCCCTTTCCCCACGAAATCTACTTTTTAAGCAAGTGATGTGAAGGCATCTTTCTACCATTTTTAAGGACCATAATATGGTTATGGTCAACCCGACGATACAACCTACCTGTTTACCCGGGCCTACTCTGATACGAAGTAATCTTTTAGTGCAAGTGAAAGGGCGCATTTTTCTCCGCGTGAAGACCTACCGCTCCACGTGAAATTGACCCATGGGTTTAGGGGTTGTAAACCACATCTTTTTCTTCTTTTGTACTTTCGGATTGACTGTCCCTATATCTGTAGTAACCCACACTGCACCATTTGGGAAGCTATTGAGCCTTCGATTAAATTGGACAAGGAAGAGCATGAATCAATCTCATGGTCTGAACAAGCATGCATGCAACAAGACAACACCACTCAATTCAAACTGTCGTCTATCAGTCCACTTCTTATCTCTTTCTTCTTGGACACCTATCTTTCCAACCAAGACTCTCTAGAAGATTAAATCTTCTACGCGTTCACATCATTTCTCGGGTCTAAAAATTTTAATACTCTTTTTTCCAATATCTAATCTAAAACAATAGGTATGCATTTGACTCCCTGTAGGGCTATACGCATCAGCTTCTTCCTGCATAAGGAATCGCCTTCCGAGTACATGAATGAATATTTAACCTCAAGATTGTTGAGTTTGGGTCTTCCACTTCATTTTTGTGTGTGAATACCTGTGAATTATACAGGTTAAGGATCATTACGTGATATGTTTTAGGCCACTGAAAGCCACCGCTTTGGATCCACACCACAAACAGTGGTTAAAAAGGACGTCCAATATCCTCGGTTTCGTGAGCCAATTCCCCTACCGTTTTATCTGCCTCCCAATAATGCAAATCGAATACAAACAAATAAATAAAGGCATGATAACAAAATCAGTTCCCAACTTTTGCATAAACAGTCCTTTTATTCCCTGCTTTTTAAGTATTTTGGTCACTGACATTTTAGATTTTATCAAAATAGCATTGGTTGGATGAGAATCGTTAGTTGACTAACTATAATATATGTTGGTGACATAGCATCTTCGTATGCATTTATATGAGTCATGTCTCCAAAGTGATAATGTAGCATGTGCCATGGCTTTTAAAGTAATAACGTGGCACCAGCCGCGTCATCAATTAAACACATGTAAAAATGTCATGTCAGCAACTGGCGGATCCAAAAATTTAATAATGGGGACCAAAATTTTAATATTCTTTTCTTTAAAATAATGGGTATATAAAAATTTTAATTTTTTTCCTATTTTTCCTTAATAAATTAAACTAAATTTCATATTTTTTCTTAAATAATGGGATGTACTTTGCCCTTAGGAAAAGAAGTTTTATCCAATATGGACTATTTTGATCAAAATTTGAAATCTCGAGGGTTAAAATGCTCCAAAAGAAAGAATGAGGGACAAAATAATTATTTGTACAAATATTGGGTACTAATTTTGTCATTATTCCTTATGAAAATTAAAGTTAAGAAACATCACCTATTTAAGCTTTAATCCCAGGAAAAGAAATTCAGGCAATGCTAGATTTTTCTCTCTGATCTTACTTTGTTTGAGCTCTAAACGTTTCCGTTTCTTCTTCCTTGTGACCAAACTTCAGTGTCAAGCGTGAATTGCAGCCATGGCATCGCATTTGTGAACCAAAGAGTTCAGTTGAAAACACGGGAAAAAATAGTAGCCTTCAAAACTTAGAGCTATGGCGACTGCAACTATGGAGAATCAAGACAACTTCCGCGCTTCTGAAAATGGCGGTGATCGGCAGAACAAAAAACTTGTCGATAACAACAAGGGTGGCATTAAGACAATGCCCTTCATCATAAGTAGGTTTTTTCATAGTTGTTGGAATCTTAGATTTGTTCTTTCGTTTTTGTTAAGGATTATGATTTGATCTTCGATGTGCAGTTATGAGATATGCGAGAAACTGGCAATGGTGGGGTTCAGTAAAAACATGGTTAACTACTTGACAAACCAGCTTCACATGCCATTAACGAAAGCAGCCAACACTGTCACTAATTTCAATGGCACCTCGAGCTTGACGCCGTTGCTTGGTGCTTTCATTGCTGATTCATATGCAGGGAAATTTTGGACCATCATTGTCGCAACAGCCATCTACCTAATGGTCAGAATTGTTGCATCAAATTCACATCTTGTATGTTAAAAGAAAAACTATAAACGGATCGGATCTGATGATGTGAATTGTGATGAGCAGGGAATGATAGTCCTAACACTCTCAGCAGCATTGCCACAGCTACGGCCACCGCCGTGTGACGGAAACCAAGTTTGCCAAGAAGCAAACGGTACTCAAACAGCTATTCTCTACCTGGCTCTTCTTCTGGCAGCCTTGGGATCCGGCGGAATCCGGCCATGCGTGGCGGCGTTTGGGGCCGAGCAATTCGTGGAGGACGATCCTAGGCATCCTAAGAAAACTTGGGTCTTCTTTAATTGGTATTACTTCGCACTAGGAGCTGCAATATTGATAGCATCAACGGTGCTTGTGTATATCCAAGACCATGTAGGGTGGACCTTAGGCCTCGGAATTCCTACCATAGCCATGGCTTTGTCCATCGTCGTGTTCCTTATCGGTTACCCACTTTACCGGAATCTTGACCCTGCCGGAAGTCCTTACACTCGTGTCTTACAAGTCTGTGTTGCTGCTTTTAGGAAGAGAAAGATTCCCTTGATTTCTAATCCCAAGTTTTTGTATGTCAATGAGGTGCTTGATGCCCCTATTTCCACTGATGGACTGCTTCGTCATACAAAACGATTCAAGTAAGTTGTCACTTTGCATTATGATTAATGATCTACCAATTGAAAATATGTGTGTGCAAAATGCAGATTTCTGGATAAGGCTGCCATTGTGACTGAAGAAGATGGTGTGAAATCATCAGAAAAACCCAATTTTTGGAGACTCAACACTGTCCATAGAGTTGAAGAACTGAAATGTATAGTGAGAATGCTACCGATTTGGGCAGCTGGTATTCTGTTCGCCACATCCAATGCTCAACAGAACACGTTCTCATTGCAACAAGCCAACACAATGAACAAACACCTGACCAAGTCTTTCGAGATCCCCTCCGCGTCCATGTCGGTCTTCTCCATGTTGTCGATGCTCATCATGATAGTCTTATACGACCGCCTACTGGTTCATGTCGCCCGCAGGTTCACGGGGCTCGATCGAGGCATAACCTTTTTGCAGCGGATGGCCATAGGCTTTTTCATCTCAATACTAGCAACTCTGGTGGCCGGATTCGTGGAAGTGAAGCGGAAACACGCAGCCTCGGCCGATGGACTAATCGACGACCCCAAATCAACAATTCCCATCTCCGTATTTTGGCTCGTGCCGCAGTATAGCATTCACGGAATTGCCGAGGCTTTCATGGTTATCGGCCACCTTGAGTTTTTCTACAACCAAGCTCCGGAGAGCATGAGGAGCACAGCTGCAGCTTTGTTCTGGACATCAATTTCAGCTGGGGACTACACAAGCACAATTTTGGTCACATTAGTCCACAAGTATACCGATTGGCTTCCCAACAAGAACTTGAACGAGGGGAAGTTGGAGTATTTTTATTGGTTGCTCACAGTTTTGCAAGCTCTAAACTTTGTGTACTACCTGATATGCGCAAAATTTTACACTTTCAAGGTTCTGCAGAGCCAAAAAGTAGAACATGATGAAGGGGTTGAACTCAGTGGCCAGGTTTAACAGTGCCCTTTGCCTTAGCATGAGAAAGTGACAGTCTTGTGTACATATGCCTCTCCTGCTCTCCTAATTAGCTTGTACAAGAAAATGGAATTAGACACCAATAAAAAGCAGTTTATTTGCACATTTGTTTTCCAATTTATCATTCTTCCAATTTAATCCTTTAATTTGAGCAGGTGCTAGTAATTCTTTGCCAATCTTGTGATGTATCCTCAAATTCACTGCTCCATACTTGTAGGATGTCCATGCTCCATGGCCATAAGATTTCAACTAGCAGATTCATTTGGATTTCTTTAAGCAGCATTCATAAGGCTTCATCAAAATTCTGTGTTGTTTGTTGCCATAAGGAGATATGTAATTATTGGGTTGACTACATGATTGATCATTTGTATTTGTGTTTTGTTCATTTTTCCTCACCGATTTCAAAAAAACATAATATATGATTACTTTCATTTTTATTTAATTAATATGTGATCACTACGAGCTGTTGTTAACAATTAACCGATTAAGTTACATGATAATTAAATACTTTAGTATAATCACACATTTGGTACATATTATTTACATATTCTATCAATTTAGTCATATATTTAATAAATTAAAATAAATTTGATTCTCCAATCCAATGATGTCATGTGGCACTAGTGACCACATTTTAATTAAATGGTTAGAATATATTAAAAGAAAGACTAAATTGAGAGAATATATAAATAACAAGAACCAAATGTGTGATTATACCAAAATATTTAACTGCCACATCACTTAATCTGTTAACTATTAACGACATTTAACACGTGATGACCACGTTTTAATTAAATAAAATAAAAATGACAATATCTTAGTTAAATAAAAACGAAAGTAACTATATATTATGTTTTTCGAAATTAATGAGAAAAAGTGAACAAAACATAGACATGAGTGATCAATCGTATAATTTATCTTTAATTATTTGTCCTATATTAATAGTATTGGAATTATCTGTAATGCAGGATTTCTAACAAATGTCAAAAGCGGTTTACAAAGTGGTGAAGGAATATTACACTTAGGCAAGTTTAACGCAGCTTTTAAAATGTGATTTTTTAAAAAATTATTAAATAATAATTTAATACTTATTTTGATAAAAAAATTAAAAAGAATATTAGTAATCAAAATAAAATTATTAAATAATAAATTGTTTTTAAAGATGTTAGTATTAAGTTAGTAAAATAAAATATAAATACATAATTGAGTGGAACCCATGTATTAGTAGGGTAGAATTATAATTTACTCTCAAACGCAAAGTTAAAACTGAAAAACCTAGAAATCCTAGCTTTTACTGTTGGTTTCAAATCACCGTTTCTACCACAATTTTTTTTACTCATTTAACATTGATTTTACGGTCGAAACGGATTTTTCTTACCTAAAAGTATTTTTAGAAAGTCATGCCAAACAGAACCTAAATAATCTCATTATCCAACAAAACATGATAGACTGAGGGTGCAATCGTACTTCTAAATATTTCAATTTTCCTCGTAATCTAAATAAATTTTTGTTTTTTTATTAATAATTTAATTTTACATCTCTTAAAATTTTATAAATTTTGACCCACTAAATTTTTAATATAATTTTCTAAATTTATATTCCTAATATAAAATTATACGTCGATTCATGAAAGTATTAACATTTTGTGACAAAATATAATAAGGATTAATCTCATACGACACAGATAAGAAAATTATAAGATGGGGTTATTCGATGATGTTTGGGTAAGGTGGGGATTGAAATACAAATAGAAATTAAGAACTCAAGCTTGGGAAAACGGTTGTTTCACCAAAATATTTTTTTGGACAATCATGACGAATTAAAGATCATATTCATGCATACGTGATGTTCGAACCCATAACTTCAAGGGATAATAACAAGTCATTAACCACCGCAACAACCCAAAATTGACACTATCCATATTTTTTTATTGCCCTCACAATTTCAAGGTTTTACCTTGATTAATCCGGATCGATCCGTATCGCACACCTGATTTTAGTGGGTGAGTCTTCCAATAGAGATTTCTTGCATACACAAAAACTCGAACTCAAAACTTTACTTAAACATTATCAAGCTGCCTATCATTTGAATAATCCCGTTGGTGGCATTATCCATATTTTGATAACATTCTTTGTAGATGATAAACCTAATAGATTCCCCACTTGTTTGTTACAAATTGGTAAAGGTTGTGTTTTAGACAGCTTCATGTGATCTTTCCTTGTCTTGTCTAATTTGTATTGATGTAGGAAAAGTTTATTTGTGGAATGTTATTCAACCCTCGATAACACCCACACCAAATGAGCTCTCAACGTAACTATTCCGAATAAAAATAAGTGTTTAAATTATATTTAAAACTAATTTTTTTTTATTTAAAGTATTTTTTATTAAAATAAATGTTTAATATTTTTTTTTGTTATACTTTTATGTGTCTACGGACAATGACGAATATAGAAAAATTTTATTGGGTGGACCAATATAAATATAAGAAAAAAATTGTATAATATTAAAATTAGCCCCCAAAATTTTAATTTTGGGATAAAAATTCCTCCATAGATGGAAACCGTTAGTTAACAAACGATTAATGTTAAAAAATAAGACTCCTTTTTACCCTAAAATGATACATTGAAAGCCTAAATACTCTAAAAAAATAAGTTAGAGACTTTTTTATCCTAAAATAAAATATTGGGAGGTAAAATACTTTAAAAAATAGAATAGAGATCAAAATGATTATTTTGATAAATGTTAGGGACTAATTTTAACATTATTATTAAATTTTAATTTACCGAGTTGAGGAACTGAAATCAGTGATCCGAATGGGGCCGATATGGGCATCAGGGAACCTCCTCATCACAGCCTATGCTCAGCAAAGCACATTCTCCCTCCAACAAGCCAAAACTATGGACAGGCGCCTCACCAACACCTTCCAAATCCCCGCCGGTTCCATGTCCGTCTTCACCATGATCTCCATGCTCTCCACCATAGTCTTGTACGACCGTGTCTTAGTCCGCATCACCTGGAGATTCACGGGGCTCGACCGCGGCATCATCTTCTTGCACCGCATGGGAATCGGGTTCAACTTCTGTGTAACATTTTCTTCACTTTTAAATTTAGTCGGGTCTTACGTTTTCTGTCTATATGCAGAGATTTTTTCGTATGGATTTATTTACAGGGATTACTGCCCAAGTACAAACGCGCATATGATATTAATGATATTAATGTCTGCATATGAATACTGTTCAACTATGTATTTATTTATATATGCATTGCATTTTATCTATATTTTTAATTTTCTGACTGCCGGAGGTCTTCCACGGAAGCTACTCTCAACCTGGCGTTGGGGGCAGCCTACCTCCCCCTTACCACATTGCATATGGGAATTGGGTTTTGTTGTTGTTGTTGTTGTAAACAATATGCTTCAAAACTAGCTTCATTGAATAGCCATAATAGGATATCAAAGTATTAACATGTCAAATATTTAAATGATTTTTTATCGATTATGATTGAATTTCGTAGAAAATCAATTTAAGAAAAAGAAATATGAGTGAAATACAAACATTTTGATATCAATTTTGCTGCGAGAAACGACCACTGACAATAGATAATTGGCCGCCAATGGTGGCTAGAAAAGTTTAGTGTAAAAATTGAACATTTTTAAAGTTATATTTTTAAAGTTTAGAGGCAAAACCGATATACAACTAAAGTTCAATGTTTAAAATGACGTCTATTTGAGTATCAATAGACATGCCAAAGCGACTTCGTTTTATCCATATTATAGCATGACCCTCTAAATATTCCCATGACACTTGTCATCCTTTTACAACATAAAGAATATGGAAACACTAGTCCAATCAATCAATTGTTTTACATCTTTTATCTCTTCCTTTTTCTCCATGAAAATCCAAAATGTTGGACGATTTCACAGTGAATCAGGAATTCTAAACAACATAAAGTAAAGGTGGTATGTAATGTTATTAATCCATGGACGAAGCAAATGATGATTGTAATCAATCTCAATCCAAGATGTCCATTTCAGCTAAAACGCCTCTGTCGGACATCGCGCAGGCATTCAAGGAGCTGTGGGAGTTGTTGGAGTCTCAGACCAACCCGAAACTTCCGTTGGACGCGTTCTGCGAAGCATGTTCTTTAGTTTCGGTTCTGTTCAGCTGCCTCGGCCTCGCCTTCAAATTCGCCGAGTTGGAGTACGTCGCCAAGGTTCATTGCTTTATTCTTGTTGTACTTGTACATTGGTAGGCGGTTTGAGGCATGTTTTTAGGTAGCCTCCATATGCAAATGCAGCATTTCATCAAGGTCTGGTGTCTTGTGATTTTTCATCAGGTGCATCATCTTGTGGAGGCATCCAAGAGGTTCGACACCTTAGACGCTGTGCTTGATCTCGACGTCGCTAACCGCACGGTGAAAACACCAGGAAGCCATTCGCGTAACCTGTGTCAAGTTCGACAAGGCCTCGACCTCATCCGCTCTTTATTCGAAGAGTTCGTATCGTCCGAGTATGTTCTGCCCTTCCCTCTTGATGTTAACACAGAATTTTGTCTCATGTCACAGATTTTGGTTTTCGGTCCCAAATTGCAGCGATTACTCTTTGAAGAACGCTGCATCAGCAGCATATGCTCAAGAGTGTGCACGATACTACACATGGACCGTCAGCCTTGGACTGGTGATCGCCTTGGACTGGTGACCTATTATATCATCTGGGGGAGTGTCAAAGAAGAAAGCACGCACATTTATTCAATTATATATATATAAATCTAAGAAAAATGTATATAATATAATATAATAAGTGAACATTTAATAGTGTGTAAATAATAGTTTATTCTTCTGTGTAATAATAAATGAACAATCTTTTTGATTGTAAACCCACAAACCCATTTCATACTAAACAGCCCAATTTAGCCCAAATGTTGTGTGAACATAGCTAGGTCAAGCAAGCCACCGCCGCCTTCCATTCTACCGGGGGGCCATGCCACATCAGCAAGCCACGAGAAGGGATTCCAAGTTGCAGTCCATCAATTCCATCGAGACTTCCAGCCAAGCCACGCCGTCCCGAACCACTCCCCGTTCCATTCTCGGCCACAACACAAGAAAAGCATAAACGAAGTCAAATTTCCATTATCATTAGCGATGGGCATAGGACCCGAATTCGATGGGTTCCGACTCGATTAGATTAGGTTTTTTTAAATCGGGTTCGGTTTGGATCAGGTCAGATTCGGATTTATGGTGAAAAATACTCGATCCGACCCAACCTGAAAATATATATAATTTTACCTTATATTTTTAAATAATTATAATAATAACTCTCTATATATTATTTTTTCAATTAAGTCATTGTTTTTATTGAATAAAAATAATATTTTTTATTATTTCACTCGGGTCAAGTCGGGTTTTTAAGTTATATATCGGATCGGGTGAAATCTTATTTTGATCGAGTCGAATATCAAGTGGAGGATTTCTTATTCTAGGTCGGGTCGAGTAGACCAAAAATCCTATCTAATCCGACCCATACCCATCCCTAATTATCGTAAAAAGACAAGGTCTTTTATAAAACCGAAAAAAATGTAAACAAAAGGGAGGCCCTCCCCTGTTTAGCTGTACAAGAGAACCGAGCAGTGTAAAAAAAACACACACTCACAAATTTTCCCAGATATCTCTCCCCTGATTCGAATGGGAAAGTCTCACGTACACCGGTCTTAATATACTACTAAGAAAAGACGTTATCGGTTTTGTTATTATTTTTTTAATAAAATCGGTAAAAAAATTACCGGAAATATTATATCTACCGATTTTATTATTATTGGGCACTTTATTAGAAATATTAAAAAATATTAATATTTTAGGTAGAAATAATAATATTTCCGATAATTTTTTACCAATTTTATTAAAAAAATAATAACAAAATCATTAGCGTCTTTCATTAACAGTATAGTAAGACTACCACACAGTAGAATTTCCCGATTCAAACCAGTCAATAAGGAAACCAAAAAAATTTCAAGGTATTGAACACGTCTTTCAGCAATGATTATGGCTTTCGAAAACTAAAAAAGGAGAAGTAGCTCACCTTCGAGCCTCGTCGCCGGAGCCGCGGCCAAAAGGGTCGCCGTTTAGGGATCGCTTGGGTCTAGTAGCTCATCTTTTAACAATGTTTTTTTTTAAATTATTTTAAATAACGTTTTTAAGTATTCGATCTACCTAACTCAAGATCGATGACGACTCTCATCATCGTTTTGTAAAGTTGATACTAAAATTTTTATCTTGTAACGAAAAATGATGTAGACAGTCTCGATCCATATAATCGTAAAGACGGATTTGTCTCTTAAAATTAACGTCGTATTCCTAATTCGTACACCAGATCTATGGGATATAAATCCCCTCCAGCTCCAGGGGAGCATTTAGCTTAGAGAACATGATACAGAAGGGTTGGCAACGATCATTGCCAAATTAAAACATTGAGATTACGAAAGCCCATCCATCATCATTAAACTTGATTATTCCACTTAAGCCAATGGATCCTTTTCTAAATTTGAATATTAAACTTAATTATTTTTATTTAAAATATATAATTATTATTTATTATATTTTATAATTTTTTTAATATTTTATTTGTTCTTTCAAATAAATAAAAAATCAATGAATCAGTTATTGACACGTCAATAACCTATATTTTATGAATCACTTTTGGAGGTGAAATTATATTTTTGTTTGAGTAGCCAACTGCCGTTTTTGTTTTGGGTAAATGACGTATTTAATACCTAAACTATTAGTTTTGGTATGTTTTAGTAACCTAATCTTCTAGCCTCTTCAAAATCATACCTATCATTTAGTTTTTATTTTAATTTAGTATCCGGCTATTAAAAACGTAACGCGTTTAATACCTAAACTATCAATTTTGGTCATTTTTAGTACCTAAACTTTCAATTTTTGTTCAAAAGTTAACGTAAAATTTTTGAACGGGGTGTTAAAATGAATTAAAACTAAACTTTAAGTATAATTTTGAAAAGAAAAAACTGTTAATACTAAAACGGATCGAAACTTACACGTAAATTACTAAAAAGGGCCCGTTGTATTATAAAATATAAAGAAATCGGCCGCTAAGATGTCAATTTGCAGGGTTGACGTCCCTTCCGGGAAATTGTTGGCTCAACTAACCGCGTTTAAGCCTTCCTTTTTCTTCATTTGGTTTTCCCATCTGTGTATCGTCTAGAAAAGGAAAACCAAATACTTGGTTGTTAAGAAAACGGAACACGTAAACAGTCAATCCCCGTAATATTCAGCTAGCACAGCACATAAAGGCACACCCCTACTCGGAGCCTAGCCTCACTCGTTCACACAGACTGTCCGAGGGTTGATTGAACAGGGTCATATGGGAAGAAGCTCGACGCCTTGCTCGGAAGAGGCTTCAAGCCCTCCAAGTTCAAGTCAGTTATCAGTGTGGCCATTTCCCGTCTCTCCGTTTTCAAGAACCAGCGCGAGGCTCGACGCAACGTCGCTCGTTCCGACGTCGTGCAGCTCCTTCAACAAGGCCACCACGACCGTGCTCTTCTCAGAGTAAGTACCGAGTAACGTTCCTGTGTCGGTTTTCTTTACGGAGCTAAAACTGTTGAGGTTTGTTTGTTCGGACAGGTTGAGCAGGTGGTGAAGGAACAAAATATGTTGTATGTGTTTGGTATCCTGGAAGGGTATTGTAATCTCCTGATTGAAAGAGTCCATCTCATTGAGCAAGAGAAGTAGGCTTCTTCTTCCATGTATCATTTCCTTTTCTTTTTCTTCGGTTTTTGTTGGTCACCGAGTTTTCTATTTGATTTGCAGGGATTGTCCTGGTGAGCTCAAGGAGGCAATCTCCGGCTTGCTCTTTGCATCTTCGAGGTGTGGTGATTTCCCCGAGCTTCAAGAGATTCGGGCGATCTTCGTGTCTCGCTACGGTAAAGAATTCGCTGCTCGTGCCATCGAGCTGCGCAACAATTGTGGAGTGAACACTATGGTAAATCTTTGTTTTGATCTGTCTAATTACTAGAAAAATGAACCATGTAATGAAGTTTTCCTATGTTTATTAACAATGTTCGGTTGAGTTGTGAAGTATGGTGTATAACATAATCTTTGTGCCCCACAGATTATACAGAAACTCTCAACCAGACAACCGGACTTGCAGAGCAGAAGGGATCTGCTCAACGAGATTGCGGCCGAGAATGGCATCGCCTTACGACTCCATGAAACCTCTGTTTCCGCTGCTGATGTAAGCAATTTAGTACAACAATCATATAGAGATAACTTATAAATTGCTAATGATTTTATGAATACAGGAAAATTTGGATGGAAGCAAGAATCATAGCCAGTCCAAGCTAGACACATTAGGTAAGGCAACCAACCATTCAAGCCTAGGAGACGACGAAGACTTCTCCGATTCACCAAAAGCAAGGAAAAAGTACAAGGATGTAGCCGATGCCGCTCAAGCAGCCTTTGAGTCGGCTGCACATGCAGCAGCAGCGGCAAGAGCAGCCATGGAGCTCTCCCGGTCTGATTTCCATGATCCTGATGATCACAACAGTCTTGATAGTCAAAGAAAAAGAGTGTTTGACACTCATGAACCTAGTGGTTCTAAAGGTAAAGAACCTCATCAAGGCAGCCAAGCAGAGGAGTCGAACCAGGGCACGATGACCTCGGAAATCAAGATCTCGAGTCCTTCGAGTAAAGAATCATCAGAAGGAAACCTGGACATGAGAACAATGTCCTTGGATGAAGTGGACCCAATCAAGCTATTGGAAAAGGAAGTAGTTATCCATTACAGTGATGATGATATCCATGATTTCTATGATCCCAGTTTTGATATGAACACAAGAGAGTTCAAAGGCAAGGACGACGAGCACTCTGAAAATACCGGACCGATGTTTCAGAACTCTTCTGATAATCAAGTCCCCACAACCCTTCATGCTGGCCTGAAGCATGAGACGGGACCTGAAAACCCCTCGGAAAATGCCATTCGAAGTTCCGAGACGAAAGGTAACGACACTTCACTATAAACAAGGGTCCATTTTCTGTGAGGACAAGACAATTGCGTGGATACTGAGGAGCATCACCATACTAAATTCATTCTCAAGTTCTGGCGAGTAGCATTATAAGTTTGTTTTTTCATTCTTCATCATTTTGTTAATTTCCATGAGATGTAAACTTTTTTTTTGAATGATTGTTGAAACATATTGAGAAACAAAACATTTCAAAGTACTAAAATAAGAACAACAACAACAATTCAGCACAGTTAGGTTTCCTGCTAAAACCAACAACAATTCTCAAATTCAGTTGATTAAACAAATCCATCAGCACTGCAAATCAAAAGAAGAAAAAAGAATGAATAAGAAGATAACATATTCTAGCTCTGGGAAAGGTTGCCACCACTTTGCTGCCAGAGATTGATGACATCAGTGGCCTGATTGAGAAGAATAATCATCTTCTTCTGGGAAATCCAGGGCTTGCTTTCAAGAGTGGCCTTGAGCTCTTCCCAAGCATCTTTCCTAGGCCAAAAGAAATAGGGACTGAGAGGAACAGTGCCGTGGCCAGGTATGACTTGATCAAGTGCCAACCCTATGTTCTTCTCCATCCATATGAATTTCAGAACCATCCTGGGCTTCCCAACTTGCTTCACCGCCACCTCATACTTTTGAGGAACCGTAATGGGTGGTGCCTCCGTCTCTGAGGATGTTTCAGCCGTGAGTGCTGCCGAGGCAGTTAGTCTTCCGCCTTTGAAGGTGGGTGTCGTTCTTTTCTTCAAACTGGGGTTTGCCTTAAAGCAAATGGTGGTGTCGGAGGATTTATGGTGGCCAAAATGCAAAGTGAATGTAGTATAGACAGTTAACGGAGTTGCCATGGACAACATTTTGTATTGCAGGATGGGAGAGACAGAGAGAGTTTGTCTTAAAAGTTACTTGAGGAGATGGGATAAGGTATATGGGAAGAGAGTATTGGTAGGACTAGGAGGATATTAGGGACTTTTCACGTGAGTGGGGCATTTTTTTTATAGGATAAACTATGTATTTAGTATCTAAATTATTAGTTTTGATCTATTTTAGTATCTAAATTTTTATTTTTTTTTAAAATCATACATAGAGTTTAGTTTTTGTTTCATTTTAACACTCTGTTGTTAAGTTTTGTGCCTAAAATCATACCTAAAGTCTAGGTACCAAAATGCACTTTGTGCCTAAATCATACTTAAGTTTTGAAAAAACTAAAAATTTAAATACTAAAACGGATCAAAGCTAATAGTTTAGGTGCCAAACGTGTTAAATTTTTAACAACGGATACTAAAATGAAACAAAAACTAAACTTTAAGTATAATTTTGAAAAATTGAAAGTTTAGGTACTAAAACATATAAAATCGATAGCTTAGTTACTAAATGCATAATTCATCTTTTTTTTTCAAAACAAGGGTAAATTACACTATTAATCACTAAACTTTTAGGGTACTTATAATTTAGTCACTATTTTTTTTATAACTTGTATTAATATTACAAAACTTTTAATTAGCTTTATTATGATCACTATAATTAGCTGTCGTTATATGCTACATGTCATTTTTTTAATAAATCAACTCTCCAATAAGATGTCCCCATGTCAATTTTACACATTTATGTCGTTCCTTACATAGAAGGGCACAGATGCACAATCAACATTAGATCTGTGGAGAGCTTCTGATCAAACTTAAAGGTCTGGAGTCTGGACATTTACCGAATGTCTGGACACTATCCTCTGCTCAGCAGTGTTAGAAATCTGTGGCAACTTTATATTGGATTTCATACATCCACTTATTCGAGTAATTAGAGATCTAGCTAGACAAGCTTCAGTATCATATGGATCATGATGATCTCCTAACTATTTATATTTCTTGCTATTCATCTATTTACCAGTAATTAACTCATAAATCCTCCTCCAGGCATGATAGATAAGGCCTGCGATGAAACTTGCCCTTGAGAAACTAATTGTGATCAGCCTGGACCTTGTACATAACCTGATCCAAACATTATTGTTGCTTGCTGCTGCTGTAGTTGTTGCAGCTGAGGGAGCTGCTGCTGCTGCTGCTGCTGCTGCTGCTGCTGTAGGATCTGCTAATGCTGATGCTGGTTTGATGTAAGGAATACATTATCCTGGATTCCACACAGATCTTAGTTCAGATAGGGCCTGCGATGAAACTTGCCCTTGAGAAACTAATTGTGATCAGCCTGGACCTTGTACATAACCTGATCCAAACATTATTGTTGCTTGCTGCTGCTGTAGTTGTTGCAGCTGAGGGAGCTGCTGCTGCTGTAGTTGTTGCAGCTGAGGGAGCTGCTGCTGCTGCTGCTGCTGTAGGATCTGCTAATGCTGATGCTGGTTTGATGTAAGGAATACATTATCCTGGATTCCACACAGATCTTAGTTCAGATAGGGCCTGCGATGAAACTTGCCCTTGAGAAACTAATTGTGATCAGCCTGGACCTTGTACATAACCTGATCCAAACATTATTGTTGCTTGCTGCTGCTGTAGTTGTTGCAGCTGAGGGAGCTGCTGCTGCTGCTGCTGCTGTAGGATCTGCTAATGCTGATGCTGGTTTGATGTAAGGAATACATTATCCTGGATTCCACACAGATCTTAGTTCAGATAGGGCCTGCGATGAAACTTGCCCTTGAGAAACTAATTGTGATCAGCCTGGACCTTGTACATAACCTGATCCAAACATTATTGTTGCTTGCTGCTGCTGTAGTTGTTGCAGCTGAGGGAGCTGCTGCTGCTGCTGCTGCTGTAGGATCTGCTAATGCTGATGCTGGTTTGATGTAAGGAATACATTATCCTGGATTCCACACAGATCTTAGTTCAGATAGAATGAAAAGGTCTAGTTAAGTGGACTGGCAATGACAAAATTTTCCAATTCCATCTGATGCCTTCTTTTCTTTATTGTCTTTTAATTTTGTTGCAGAAAGCTAGTAATACTTTTGGAAAAGCAAAAACTCAAATTCCAACTTTTTTGGGTAAACTACACGTTTAGTACCCCAACTATCACTTTTGTTCCGTTTTGGTCACCCAACTATTTTTTGTTCAAAACTGTGCCTAACATTTAGTTTTGGTTTCAGTTTGGTCACCCGCCATTAAAAATTAATGGTGATACAAATGTGTCACTACAAGATAATGCCACTTCATCGAAAAAAATATATAAAAATGCCATGACAGTGGTTTTGTTAATTTTTTAACGGTGGGTGACCAAAATGAAACTAAAAGTAAATGTTAGGTATGGTTTTGAAGGGGGAAAAGTTGGGTGACCAAAATGGAACAAAAGTGATAGTTGGGGAACTAATGTTGATGTTAGGATTAGTAATTTGTTAATCAAATTCATTTTCGTATTTTAGCATCTTTCTCAGGAGCAAAGGTAAAAAGCTAATAGCAAAAACAAGAAGCAAATGGAGATGAAAGCAAAGGCTACTCATCTAATTTATAGCTTTTTCCATATATTTATGGTAGGTTTTTATTAACTCCTAAACTGTGGAATGTTAGAACTAACACTAATGATCATGCTAATAAAACACACTCAACCAACTAAAGTTTGGACTCAAGAGTCAGAATTCTCACCCCAGGTAAAAGCATTCCTAACAGGCGGTTAGCTTTATTGGATGTTGAAAGTACCAACGTCTGTGATGGCAATTGGATTACAGCACACTGTGAAAATTAAAAGCAAGAAATTATGTCAAGAATAATACAGCAGTAAAAATTCCATAATTCCACATTTGCAAATGGTTGATAGGATAAAAGTTTGAGAAATCTAAAACTCAGCATGGTTCCTAGAAACACTCAAAAGAGTACAATTTTACAAAGTCCCAGGAAGTGTCTGAGTATAAATTTGCTTATGGGATGGTCTACAAGTTTCTTGGAAGACATTCAAATTTAAATTCTTCATTGCTTCAAAGCAAAATTTATCCTACAGCCACTTACAAGCTTATACTTCTTTAGCTGTTCAAGAAATCCGTGCTGATGCATTGATCTGAAAACTAAAAAATCCGACTTCCCAACATAATGCCTGATATAAAAAAAAAAGGTTAATGAAAAAACTGAAGGTGGAAAACTTTTTCTCCGACTCGAACTTACTTGTTCCTCACGTGATCCTCAGATATAACATTAATTATGGTCATGGTTTGTGGCCAGTGTGTTGCAAATCTGACACGACAAAAACTAAAATCCTCAGGCTCTATAGCTAGATTGGCATTAAATGAATGCAAAAATAAGAGTATGGTAATGTAAGAACAGAAGCCACACAACAATACTAAGGCCACCACTAAAAGAAACATAACGAAAGCATTTTTATCAATTATAATTTCCTCTGCGAACAAAAAAAAATTCACAAGCCACACAAATTAAACATATACTTACCTCACAGAAGCTGGTGCACGATGATAACCCAGAAACAAATATTTAAAGCTAAAGCTTTACACACCAAATTAGAATTTGAGAATAAAATAGCTCCGATGTCAGATGTGTGGTTAATGAAGAGATGCAAGCCATTAATAAAAAAACATAAATGAAAATAAGATGACGAACAAAAATGAAAATGTGGTATATTTGAAGCAAAATTATCATCAGATGTTTGATAGCGTACTTCCAATCTAGTGATGAACACTGGCATTCCGTGCCTTGGGCCACATAAATTTCCCTGTATATATTGACCATTCAAGAGTTATTAGCAATCGCACAGCCAAATATACAACAACGAAAATGCAAATAGTACAAGAGATTTAATATGAAACACAAAAGTCATCAATGTCATTTAAAGGTATTTACAAGGGACAATGAAAAATGAAAATCAAGATGCACAAGGAGAAAACCAAAGTCAAAACATTGCAGCTTTCCTGGTCACTCCCTCAAACACTACTTCGGTCAAGGTGCTGTCTTATCCAGGAGATAACAAAAGTTATAGAACCTTTCAAGAAAATGGAAAAGCATGGAATGTTTCCACAGTAGCATCCCAACAACATTTCAGGTCCTTAACAGAGTTCAGAAGTGTCATGTTAAGAATAAGGCTGTTTCAACTTTTAGACTTCCAATATCATTATTCATCACATGATTCACATACCTTACAACAAAAATAAAGCCTTAAGAAAATGATACTTGTCATAATGATAATGCCCGTTTGATTTAAGGAGGGACCATACTATTTAGAAAATAAACAAATAACATCAAATCACCAAGTAAGACTATTCTAAGATATTGTACACTGCATGTTTTCCTCAGGGAAAAAACGCTTTCTAAATATATGCTTTATAGGGAGATCCAAAATCAAACAAGAACATAAGAAGCAAAACTATTAAGTACTTCTAGCACGATATACGTGTAAAAAAATAAACTAAAATTAGATTTCAGAATGAATTGACACAGAATGGTTCAACATCTATTCATTGCAAGGAGATTTTTTCACCAAAACAGCATATCTAATTATTTGTCATCACTTAGATTACCTCCCACACTTTAATATATTTGGAACTCGCAGATGAACTGTTGTTCACTCCATGTGTCTGCATTCCAGATTGTACCGGTTGAGACATTCCTGGAGTTGGAATCGTCGCACTGGTTCCAGAAGAAAAGTTTGATGGACCAAGACCACTCATGCTCTGGATCATGCCAACACCAATTTGTACCAATTGTGCTCCTGCAAGGTTTCCTTGGCTCATGCTGCAGGGTACTGACCGGCCCATACTCACCGCTCCTTGAACATTACCCATTTGCTGAGAAATTCCAATGTTTGAGCTTCCAGCGACATTAGAAGTTGCAGAAGCAAATGGATTAAGACTTGAGTTTTCTGGAACCTGTGTAGTCCCTCTAACAGCTCCTGAATCAGTTAATGAAGTAATACTCAATTGCCCAGGTGGAATATAGTTTGAGCTGGAGGCACATAGGATGTCATTGGAATTTGTGAGGGGATGTGGATACAGAGGCTGCTAACAAAACTAGAGGTGAATTGCAGTGAGCAGTTTGAATTGCAAAGTGACAGCTAATCGCCTATCAGCATTGCTAAAATTCCTATCCACCATGACGGAACCAAACACATTGAGATTGAAAAACATTTCATCTCTGAAAAGGTCAACAATGATTCTGTAAAAATCAACTTTGTTCCTACACAGAAGCAACTAGCTGATGTTCTCACCAAGTCCCTTCCAAAAATCACCTTTGATGAGTTCACATCCAAGCAGGGACTCTACAATGTATTCTCACCAGCTTGAGGGGGAGTATAAATTGGAGTCATGCAAATACTAGTAGTTTTACTTTCTGTTAATTTCTGTATACTAGTAGGAGTCAGGAGTTAAGTTATTCTCTTAAGTCTTATCTTTAGGGGTGTTCAAATAACCGAACTAATTCGGTTAACCGACCGAACCGAATTAGTTTGGTTAATTCGGTTCGGTTACCGAATTAGTTCGGTCGGTTAACGGTTAATTCGGTTCGAATTCGGTTAATTAACCGAATTAACCGAATTAACCGAAATTAAATTTTAAATATTAAATATATTATATATAACATATGGGCTCAGCCCAAACCATTTAAAACCCAATTAATAATTTAAGATCCAATAACTTTTAAACCTAAATCAATATTAATTAATTAAAAAATTATATAAATTTTTTATTTTATAATTATATATTATTTAAATTAATTGTAAACTGTTTTTTTAATTAAAAAATATTAAATATATTATATATAACATTTGGGCTAAGCCCAAACAATTTAAAACTCAATTAATAATTTAAGATCCAATAACTTTTAAATCTAAATCAATATTAATTAATTAAAAAATTTATCTGAAATTTTTATTTTATAATTATATATTATTTAAATTAATTATAAACTTTTTTTGAATTAAAAACATTTAATTTTTATATAAATTAGAAAATTTAAAAAAAAAATCGGTTAATTCGAAAATTAACCGAATTAACTGAAATTAATTCGGTTCGGTTAATATGTTTGAAAAAAAGTTCGGTTCGGTTAACGGTTAAAGAAAAAAAAAGTTCGGTTAATTCGGTTAAGGGTAGTTCGGTTCGGTCGGCCACCGTTTTAACCGAATGAACACCCCTACTTATCTTATTTAAAGTTTAAATAAGTCTCATCTGATCCTATCCAAAGATAGAGGGCTGATAGATTAGTTTTACATTCCATCAGAAGTTACCAATAGATTCTGCATAAATCACCTGATGGAACAGAAGTTGGAGGCATCTCCGCAACCGAAGTGGCAGGAGCCATGTCCATTTTCACAAGACTCTGGTTGGGTGCCAAACTTGGAACTCCAGGGAGACTTAAAGCAGCACGACCCTCCATAAAATTTTCTGAAATGAGAACAAGGAACTGAGAGTTTCTAACATTTCCGAATGGTGGATCTGGTGCACTGGGGTTTCTCTTTCCCTGTATTTGTGAAATGCAGTTAGAATACCTAACACCAATTAGCAGAGAATGTTAAGTAACGAAAACAATCTAGGATAAAGTCTAGTCAAAATCTACTTTATCCAGATGTTTATTTATGTGTATACAAAGCTCATCCCTAGCTCAAAAAGTACTTCATATGTATAACAGAAAATTTCAAAAAAGTGCAATGGAACTATCATCATAGTCCACCAGCAGGTTAAAAAGCATAGACCCTTTAAAATGTTCTCTTAAAAGTTCAAGAAGAGACTAGTAGATCTTGGCAGACATGGGCAACATATCTAATGTTAAGAGAGAAAGTCCCCAAAAGATATACAACAAAAACAGCTTAAGAAATGTTATCATCATAATACTTACAGCCATGTAGATTGCTTTTAGCTTTGAAAGTTGCTTCGGACATATCACAGATAGAGAAACAGAACACTGCAGCATACAAGTCAGTTAACCTCCTAAAAATGAAGGCTATAACTAGGAGACAAGAGAATCAAAGTACTCTTGAATTACCTGAGGAAATGATTTAGCTACTGTCTCAGCATCAGACAGACGACTCTCTATCTGTGATTCCGCATTTTCTCTTTGCTCCAAGTTTTGAGTCTGTGGTCGATAGACTGGTGTAGGCAAAGGATAAGGATTACTGGCAGCAACAAGAATGCAATGTCTTTTCCCATCAACAATTTGATGGCTTTGATTTCCATTTGCAACAATAGGAAACATCTGAGTAGTGCATCAAATGACTAAATAGTAAAATGTCATGATAAATGTACTACAATATCAGATAAGGCCTACAGGGACAAAGTCTGTCAATTTTAATTGAATATATAGTAGGAAGTGGTATATTGATAGCATATTTAATAAATTTGAAGGTTCAGTTGGAGCAAAAAATGATTAGATAATTAACAAACTTAAATAGGTTAGTGATATCTGGTGCAATTTACCCAAATAGGAATGAATTGGAACTTAAACCAAAGCACTAATTCACCTCAAAACGCATAAAAGATTGACACGCCATACCATTAATGCTTCAGAAAGGCCTTCAGCAATTGCAGCATCATTAAAACCACCACCAGAAAAAGTTAAGGCTGACAGCCATTGTAAGAAAATATCAACATCTTTTGTCCACCCACTACGTTGTACTAGAAAAGCTGCATATCGCACCACATTTTCCACACACAAAAATGTAGTTTTTTATACTAGTAAACCACTTTTAACTTTTAAAAAGCAAAAAGGAAATAGGGAAGCGAACAATATACCCCAGTATGATCCATGCGCGTTTAATGTGATCAATGAAAGCTCAACATTTGATGGAGAATTCTTCTGTATTTAAAAGTGACTAAATTAATATATAACACAACATTGAGCAAACCGAATGGCTTAACGTGACCGGGCAGAAATTTCAAAAATTTAAACGGCCCTCTAAATTCACAGAAATTGATGTTAATTCCCTCGTGTAAATTTGGAGGCCTACTCTAGATTGCCAATAAGATTGTCTTACAATCAGTCATTTGTTTGCTAGGTTATCCGCAATAAATATTATTTATTATCTGATATCATGTGGCTTATCAAAAAAAACAAGGGGGAGGAGATAAGCCTTTTTACCTGCCCGGCCGATTCGTTACTACAGAAAGACCTGCGGAGTTAACATGATCTATCAGACAAGATATATGTTTAACTATGAAACATTCAAATAGGTAAGTTTATGCCATTAAGTCCAATACAGGCAATGAGACACTCGGCAGGATGGCATGTAAGATGAAGTTTAGGTAGAAGAAAAAGACAAGCAAAACGCAATTATAAAATACCATCATATTCATTAATAAAATGAGGAAATTCCAGTAAATTCACACCTGAATTATAAACTTCACTTTAGATTCTTTCTTAAGTAAGATCTAAAGGTAAATCCAGATATCATAATTCCACACCTGAAGCAATTGGAGTAAAAGAAAAGGAGAGGGAGAAGGAAGGAGACCTGATAATCTTTTCAAGGTAATCAGAGAGGATGGATTGCCAGTAGGGAGACATGGCGGCGGTGCCCTCCACGGCCACGATCAGCTGCCTCTCCGCCATCTGCTAGTCAACGTTTTAATTAGTTAGCGAGGAAATACTAAATAAAGAGATGAAACGAAGAACGGCAGAAAATGGGTTTGTCACACTTTCTTCATCTCCTCCCGAAAGAAAATGTTGGAAACTAAATTTTTACTTGGGGTAAACTTCGAAAGCGGTCTCTAATATTTCAAAAGTAACGATGTAGTCACTGACAGTTACCTAGGTAATATTAGGCATGGGCATGGGACCCGAACCTGATGGGGACCCGACTCGACCTAACCTGATCGGGTCAGGTTTTAAAAAAAAATCGGGTTGGGTCGGATTTTTTTAAAGGTGATATTCGGGTCGGACTCGGATTTAAGGTAAAAATACTCGATCCGAAAAATATAATTTTACCTTATATATTTAGGAATAATTACAATAATACCACTATATATATCTTTTCAATTAAATTATTATTTTTAATGAATAATTTTTATTATTATTTCGGGTCGGGTCGGATTAGGATTTTATTTCGAAAAGTCGGGTCGGGTAGGATGGACGGTATATATTATACGGGTCAAATCGGAATTTGGGTGGAGAAGTCATTGTTCTCGGATTGGATCGGGTGGATCAAAAACTCGACCCATGTAATATCCTAGAATGTTGATGTGACGTGTTGAATCGACTGACCTAACATGAGACAGTCACGTTGAACAATCGTGTAACTCCAGTAAATGTTGCTTCTTCAACTTCAGGAATAAAAAACGTTCCGAGAAAAAAGCCGACGTTGTTGAGGAGGAGGTGAAGAAGGTCGGAGAAGACGAAAAGAAGCATTTCTCTGGAGTTCAGTAGATGATGGTTAAGACATGACAAGGTAGCTCAAGCTTGATCAACTGTGATGATGAAAACTTGTCGGCTTCATTTGAATCCAAGATCAAAAATGAAGGTTGACTGACAAAATTCTTCAAGTGGTCGCCGGCCACGACCATCGTGGCCGACATAGTACTTGTCATCCTCCTAGTCATACGTCGTCGTAGTTGTCGTTGATTGGCCATCGAAATCGTGTGGGATCACGATTTTCATCCTAGGGTTCGTGGAGTATAAAATTTTAATTCACCATCGATCGATTGTCAATCGGTCACAATTTCATAGAGGTTTTGGTCGTCGGGAGAGGTGAGGTCGGGTAGAGCTTCGCTGACGGAAAAAGGCAACGATCGACGTGGATTTAAGAGTTGAAATGAAGGTTTTCAAAGTTTTGGGTTATTTCAAAATGTTTATTTTTTTAATATATATATATAATTTTAATTTTTTAATTTTAAATAAAATTTTTAAAATTACCAGCTTGTGACACGAGTCATTTAACGGTAGAAATTAACACCATTGATGGTTCGGGCACCTAAAATGATAACATTTGTAATGTTGGGCACCTGGATGAGTCAAAAAATAGCTTAAGCACCTATTCGAGAATAAAGTTATAGTCTTGACACTTATTTTGATATTAAAGCCTAAAAAAATAACATGTTTTGCAGTTGTATCATTTTTCATCTTCATCATTAACCTTAGTATAATGTTGTTAGTAATTTAGTAGTGTTTGATTTCTGTACAAATGACTAGTGAATCTTGTAAAGATAATTAAAAATGTCAAATTAAACACCAAGTAACCCTTATTTAGTCTCATAATCATTAAGCAACATCAAAACATAACTTTAGAGCTTCCAAGTTATTCTACGGTCACTACTCACTATGCTGGACCTCTAATTTATACATATGTGTGTGTGTTTGCCATGTGAGCTCGGGCAACGGAATGAATTGCCGACAAGCTTTAGAGCTAGTTAAAGAGATAATGCAACTGAAGTATCTCATATGTGCAACAGAAAAGAAACGAAACAGCTCGTACAAGATGTTTAATACTTTCTATTACAAGGTCTGCAGAAACATTCAGTTTATGAGACAAATAAATACAAACCCTACATCCATAAGGTGAAAGAGTGAGTATACACATTAAAATCAGCTGAACATATGATGGATCAACCTTGGACCTCTTGCTGTTACAATAGTGGTGTCATTTACATGACATTTAAGTGTGGATATATATGATTCATGCATTGCAGTGCTCACCAAATGTCATGGGGGAAAAAACCCTTGTCCCCTTGGAAACAAGTGGGAAAAACTAAATAGTGAATCCAGAGACACAGTGCATTTTATGAGCCAATGCCACTTTGTAAAGGCCCCATTTTGCTGAATAAATCCAAATCCACCAACTCTTTATTCTTTGCTCTTAGCATAGCAGCAATTCGTTCACTTGCTTATTTTATGGTATATTCTCCTCAATAGTTGCAATTGCATGGTCCCCCTCTAATCTAAGATATGTGTCCTCTTGGTGAGTGAGTGGAGAACTACTAAAAACAGTAAAAGCCTACCTTGCAATGCTGGCTGGCTGGCTGGATGGCAGCTAATGAGGATTAAGGGGAAGTGATGGCAACCCCTTGGCGTGCTGACCCTGCATTTCAAGATGCATCAGTGACTTCTGTCTTTGATACCTGTTCCTCTTTGCAGCAAGTGCTGCAAACGCCATAACATGATACGATATAATGTCGATAAGATTCAATGAACACACTGGAAAAAGGTGATAGATTTCAACTAACAAAACACACACGGGAGAATAAAGACATCAACTTCACTTTTGTTGCAAATTCCAAATAACTTTACATTATAGGCAGATGTGGCAGCATTCATTCATGCACTCTAGTCTACAGTGAACATTAGAAAAGCTGTAATGTCTCCTCTATCATGCCATAAATTTAAGTTTTATACAACCGTAAGGCAATTACTATGTGGAAGATGCCTACTGACATTGCCAAAATGGAATCCAGACTATAACAAATATTAGAGGAAACTAGCATCTTCTGAAAGAGTTTTGATCTCTTAAGCTCCACCTAGTCGGAATTAACATCAAACCTTGACATGATTTACCACAACCATAAAATTCTAACTCATAAGAAATACATGCATAGATTTTGCTTAAAATGTTTCAGTTGGATACATCTGGTTTTTGTTTAAAAAATCATAACCCTGGTTCTTCTCACTGAATTCCATTTCTAATCGATTAGATTTATTCAAATCTGATCTCTCCATGAATCATAACCCTGACTTGATATCAGTCAAGACCCCAATGATGGATCCAATAAATTAGCTTTCAGGGTTGGAAGTTTTTAAAGTAACTTATAGCTTCCAAAACAGGTACAAAATGCACTAGAGGTTCTAGAGTTAAATGGTTAAGTTTAATTTAGCTTTGAACTTTCGTAGTCAGGACTGCACTACTAGCTTATCAGTAGTAATTTTTTGCCTCCTACAGGGATTGTTAAAATATATATCAAAGGGTGGGCCATGTGGAGACATATATATATATATATATATATATATATATATATAAACATATCAAGAAGAGATAACTGATAAAAACTGAACTTCTGAGATAATACTTGCATATTAAATCTGAAGGTAGACCAAAATCATAATCATTTCTACCCCTCCTGATACATAATATGTAGATCACCAGTAGCAGCACAACAACAAAAGAGAAGCATGATAGGCCTATTGCAATTTTACCACCTTTAGATAAACGACCATTCTCCCAAAACATAGGACAATCCGGTAAAGGAGGAACTCCACACAAGCCTTTGTTACCAGAGAGACTGGAGAAAATAAATCACAGTTAACTGAACACAAATAAAAATAATATAGATATTTATTGAGTAGGCAAATATAGGCATATATTTGACAAGTGTGAACAGTTAACGGTGTAAACAGTTTGACCCTATTTACGTCCAGCTCAACGAATACTACTACTTGTTCAGTATCAAGCACAAAATCAAGCTAAAGTGACGAGTTGAGCAATGTTCGAGAATATTAAACTCATTAACCCTAATCAAGCTTTCAAACTTTTAAAGACAAGATAGCTCCCTACAAGCAAGTTAAATAGACATGGTATTCCATTCATTTATCATAATCCAAGAGTTCATTTTTACTATTATTGTTAATATTTTGGTGGAGGATTGTCAAGCCGTAATACAAGCAATTTTATCAAAATGTAGGACATAAAACAAGAGTCAGCTATTAATTCAATGGAATAGAAAAATTGTCGTGAGATTCAACAGTTAACATGAAGAGGAAAAGTGAGAAATCATTTTTTCCACCAAATATGAAAAAATAAATGAAATCATGATCTAAGGAATTAGATTAGTTGAACAGAGTGATGAAAAAGGCACATAAAAGGGGGAAAGTTTGCAGATGCAAACAGTTGAAATCTATATGCATGCAGAATAGGTAAAGGCAAACAATCAACATCCATATGCATACGAAACAGATAATGGTTTCTGTAACCCTCTAGACCCAACCTATGCGTTTCGACTAAGTCTAACGGATCACATCTATAATTTTTAAAGACATTTTCCGAAACCCTTATTCGATCAATGTAAAATCACATTATAAATACATTTATAAAAGGATATAATAAATTACGATAAAACATAACTCATGAATATAAAACTAAATAGTTAAAATTTTAATTTTTAAAACATGTCGTAGTATTTGGATCACTATAAACCAATTATCAATAGCAGAATAATATTCATTTCTGAAATAAATACTTTAAATAAAGGCTCATGTTACCAAAATAAAGTCAACTTGAAATATAAAAGCATTACAAATAGATGTACTTCAAGATATATGTTGATTCTTCAAGTGCTCAATCTGGGATATCTAACCAACAGTATCTGAAAGGGGAAAAACATTTTCGAAAAGTGAGCTAGGCTCAGTGTGTCCCAATAGTATAATAAAATCATAGTAGGTACAATAACCGAGTAATAGTTCAGTAAATCATCATAAAATCATAATGAAGTTTAACTTTTGAAACTCGTAGTTTAAATCCCTTCTCCTGTACACCAACCGCAGTTCCCCATAACCGCATCCGTAGGGCTACCTTAAGCACACAGTAAAAAGGAAGCCTACCTAAGGATAAGCTTTTGGGTCTGAATCCTTAGGTCCGTAGGACTTACTCTAAGCACACAGCAAAGAGGGCCAACCTAATAGAGCATCTTGGGGCTCGT